CCCCTCAGCCAGGCGGGAGTCGGCTGGACATCTTTACATTGCTGCTGCAGATTTGTGGAAGCAGCGGCATCCTTTGGGGATGGGTCAGGGACCGGGAGAAAGCTGCCGGTAGGTCGCCTTGCAGCCTGGCTCCCTCAGGCAGGTAGCAGTGGAAATCACGCCAAGCCTGAACGCTTCGCAGGGCGCCCTGCAAAACCTCAGTGTCGGAGGGAACATCTCCGACACGAAGCAATCAAGAGGATTAAAATACCTGAGATGAAAATATAACCCCTTTTCGACAGGTGTGCTACGGTCAGTCATCCTCAACTAATGACAAGGAAGAAAGTCCTGTCTCGTCGCATCCCTTGGAATATGGCTATCCAGCTGGGGTTTTTTTTCTGATTTCTTTTTTTTTGAAGACCAAAAAGCTGCCTTCTTTTGCAGTGACTGATAGTATGACAAAAGTTAAACTACTTTGCTTCTCCAAACCCATATGGACCAGAAATGCTCAAATTAATACTGAGCCTTCTGTGCATGCAAAGTCTGTGTAGCTATGTGGGAAGGAAAATGTTTTCTGTTAGGGACAGATATCCCCTCGGTGATGGATTTAGAACTGCTTGTGCTATAAGGTAAATCGCACTACCAAATACTTTAAAAAGGCCTGTCAAATCATTCTTTCCGGTGAGTCATCCATTCGTCTAAAGTCCAGGGAAATACAGCGCTCTGAACCCTGATACTCATCGACCAGCGTTTAGCAGTAAATAAGGCAAATCCCATTCCTAAATCAGAATACCAATTTTAAGCTTGACATGATTGAATTTTAGTTGATTTGCATTAATTACAGAAATACCATTGTGGTAGCAATACATTTTCAAACAAGCTTGGAGGGACAGTTTCTTGGCTGGCTGAAGGTAATGTAAGACCACACTGCTGCCAAAAGCAGTGCTCCTGCTGTGTGGCTGCTGACCTGGCTGAGAACTGTGCAGGGGGCTGAGCTGATCCCATGCAGCCCGGGCAGGATAGGGGTAAGTCTGGACCGTCCCTTCCACAGGCTTAAGCCACCTGGGAAACTGCCCCTGAGGTCTTGAAAAATGTGAAGATAGCAAATGACAGAAGCTCATTAAGAACAAAGGAGAATAAAGTTATTATAGTCCTTTTTTTAGTTCACGTGTACCGTAGATATAATTTCAGAAAAGCAGACTCAAGAGTAACTATTGTTTCAAAGTCACAGCACTTCCAAAATGACTGGCTCTTTCTGTTGTCTTTGGGGGTCCTTATTCACTTCAGTCTTTAAGTCTCTGGTCCACAGGTGGCTTGTAAATGAGCCCAAAGCTGACTCTTTCTCCTGACTTCACCAACAGCAACTGAGTCTTCTTCATGAACACTCCCACCGGGTTGGCACTGTGCCCTTTCATCTCACCAACCACTCCGCATGATCCTGTGCTGCAACCCTGGTGATGACAGACACAGTCTGTTTTCTTTCCGTGTAAGGTGCTGATTATTTTTTTTTGTTTAGTTTCACAGTGATAGGACTATATATCGAGAGATATATATATATATATGGTCATGTAAGTCAAAACTTGTATAGTAAAAAATAGTAATTGTAAGAATGGCTCATGAAGGTATCAAAAAGCTTGTGTCAAGCCAATGTTTCCTGTGTAATCGTGGTGTCCATACGGGAGAGCTCTCGTCTCTATACACTTAATAAAACAAAAAGCTTCAACACTCTTCAGGCAGGCTGGCGGAGTGATGTGTTAATCTGCTCCCATTAACAAGACAGCAAATTCCCAGTTGATCACCCAATTCAAATTAAGCACATGTAATCTCACAGTGACACTCACAACGGCGTTAAAGTAATGCATACATAGATGGGATGAAGTAAGTGTCCTCAGGAGTGCTCAGCTTCCAACATTAATGTCATTTAGGCGCTCTGAATTTGAATATGGGTCATTAACACCAAACTCCTGTAATCACTGTTTTAAAGACAGAGCCTTTTAACTGCATCAGTCTTCTGCACACTACACAAGGGGTGTAGGCGATGTTACAGGTTTTCCATTTCGTGGCAGGATGGGGGAGTCCCATCAGACTCCACCATGCAGGTGTACTTTATTGGAGGTGGTGGTGGCTTGAAAGATGGAGGTCTGTTCATACTGAAACAGAGGAGAAAAAACGCCCTGTCACACAAAAGCCATATAAAAGACTGTTGTAAAATGTTCACAGGAGGAGGTAGATGGACACTAAATCATTATAAGAGCACCTGACGTTTGCTCTTACATGCTGCAACTTCCCTGTTTCTGTTCTACAGCCCCAACGCACCTGCTGGTATTCATTTGGCTTTCTCAGCTCCCACCTCACAATTTTACCTTATTCATGCTTCAAAAAAACCAGCTCATGGTCCTGGTGAATCATTCAAAACCCTTGCAGAGATCTTTTACTCACACGGCTCTCTGAAGATGTATTTAAAGACTCATAACTTTTTTTGTCACTTTATAGGCCTAGATAAAGAAAGGTCCCATCCCAAATCAGTGAAAAAAATCAACCCCATTTTTACTTTTGATATACAGGATTTGCAGTCACGTTTCAAATGGATTTTCTAGAACTGCAAATGATTCATGATCACCATGATTTTTCAAACATTTTAGTAATGTTAGTAAGATTAAAAATAATTGGCTCTTAGATACTTCTTTCATCAGTAGATTGCTGAGTGCTTTAGTAGGGAATTAAACTTTGGTAATAATTACAAAGTCAATGCTTCTGTGGCTGGGATTAAGTTTCAGGTAGCCTACTTTCATATATATTATTCGCAACTCAAATAGTCTGTATTGCCCTAGAAGTACAATTTCATTAAAACACGTCCTCAAGTAACCATGCAAAATGAGAGAGCAAAAGCAGCTGGCAAGGAGGCTAATAGAAGTGGGGTGCTCGGGGGAAAAAAATTGACTTGTATTCTTCCCTCACACCCTGAAGCTGCACCAGAGCTCTTTTTTTAAAGTTTATTTTAGATAACCCACAGAATGGATCAATGGACTGAGAACGCTCCACATTTCATACCTCTGTATGAAAAAAATAACATTAGCGATCCATGTACTTAAAGGTCTTGTGCGCTATGGGTAGTCTCAAATGAAAATGCATAAATCCAGACAGCTGGGTTAGAGTTTGTGCTGTCCCCAGGCCACCCCTCCTAGCCCTGCGGTGTACTTACATCTCTTTCTGGTACTGACACCATTTTCTGATGCCCAAAACTAATAGAAAACTGCAGAAGAGGAGCAGGATGGCTACCACTGTTGGCCAGGGGAAGTGACCGGCTTTCACGTCCCTCGTGCCACCTGGAAGGGAGACACAAGACAGCATTCAGCCGAATGTCCGGAGGGGAGGGAAACCCCTGCTTGCTGCTTGTGGCTCGCTTTCCCCCCCCTGCAGGCACAATGCTGCTGACAACCCAGGTCCCAATCAACCTGGACTGCCAGGTTCCCAGGCTAAGGATCCCAAACTCTGAGCATTGCAGCTCTAATTTGTGGACTTAAACCACTTTTGTTCTGACTGGGTTTGCAGGCTGATGTCAGCCACCCATCGGTTCACACGACGAGATTATTCAGGCACAGCCTGGCAATCATTTCATCTGAAAACCATTGGCTTTCTCTGTTCCCCTGTGAGCTTCTCCAAGAAGAGGAATCGTGTCTTGGTGCAGCACGGGCACGGCTGCCCACCCCAGCCCTCCTTCCCACCAGTTTATTTTTCATGCTGCTGACACCAAACCCAGCCAAAATGTCCGGCCAAGGGCACAGCTGCCTTTTGGGGTGGGCTCTTGCTGGCGGCGCAGCATCCCTGTGGCAGTGCAGCATCCCCGCCTCGCCACAGCTGCCCACCGCGGTGCTGGGATCGCCCCACTGCCCCTTCCTGTGCAGCCACCCTTGGGGGTGCTGGTGGCTGAAAGAGGTGCCCTCAGGGTCCTGGCTGTGGGGAGGAAGAAGAGGAGGAGCACGGTCCTCCTTCAGTGGCTGCGGAGGATGCAGAGTGGGCTGGGTGCCAGAGAGGGCTGGAGCACAAGTGTCACTGGGCAATACCACCCCAGTGTCACCTCCCACTGTGCTGGCAGCACGACCCTTTGCAAGTTTGGTCCTACTGGCATGTGGCCCAGCCTGGGGCTTAGCCACAGTGGCAGCCAGCCCCGTGGCTGGGCCACGGTAGCATGCTGCATGAGCCATGAGCGGCCCCTGGGGTGTGGGAGTGTGACTGGCCAAATTTTGCTGCTGGCAGAAAACATGCACTGGGGTGTTGCTTGCTCCATCCCTTTTCCCTTTTTTGAAATTCCTTGGTCAAATTTACATGATGCTCCTCCAGGTTTCGTGTTTCTCTACTTTTCTTGCTTACTGCAATGGCACGCTGAAAGAAGGGCATTTGTAGGATGACGTCTCACCAGTACTATTGAGCAGACTGCTGGTAGTAAAGAAATCTTTCCCCTTGGTAACTGAAATTGTCTGGTCTGTGATGCTGAAGGACAGGTTACCTAAAAGGATATGGGCACAAAACATTTTTAGTAGCTTATATGGTTCTTTTTTAATGAAGATTGTGTTTAGAAGCCACCATCATTCACCCTGCTGAGGACTGGAAGTCAAATTCCAGAATCCAGGTGTCAAACTTCACTTGGAGGAACACCTATATTTTTGGCCTACAACCCAGCGTTAGACAAAAAATGTGCTTTTATCAAATTGAAGAGTATTACCAGAAACAAAGAAAGACTATTAGAAAACATCTATTAAGACATTCCAGCAAGACAGCATTGAACTGCACAGCAGTCTGGGAGAATGATAAGCTTGTCGCCTCTTTGATGGTAATGAAAAAGCTAAAGATATTAAGTGGCTTAGCAGCAACACAAAGAGTCTGCCTCTGCCATAACTGAGTGAAACCTCAGTCTCCTCTGTCAAGCACTGTGTCTGAACCACAAAAATCATCTTTAATCTGTTTGTAGACAGATATTTTCCCTTTCCTAATATGGCTAAGCTACCTATGTTTGAGATCAGTGCTGCCTAAGGATACATTCCTGTTTTTTTTCTAGCCATATCCATGTTCGTGTCTTCCAAAATAATAGCTAAAATATGTGACTAGACAAGTGCACAGCTTTTCCAGAGCTGCCACGGCACTTACGATGCACCAGGGTCGTATTCTCAGAGGAGTGCGTGACATTCCTGAGGCTTTGCAGGGATTCGGTGGTGGAATCGTTCAAATCTGGACAAAAAGCAATAATATCCTTCAATTATCTTACAAGCCTGTATGTGACTGCTTCATTAGGTTTAACTGTGGTTATTTTATAGCCTTTGCTTTTCTCTGATGCAAAGAACAAATGAAATAACAGAGCTACCTGAAAGTCTCTAGTATAATTGCTGATTTATAAATCCAAGAAAAAAATCCATTGTTTAAATGATGTAAATGAATAACTGGACAGAGACAGGAAAATCTCTTTCTCATGAGATGCTGTTTCTGATTTAAATTGAGCACTCAAGCGTGTGTGTGTGTGTATATATATATATATGTATGTATGTATTAAAAAGCCCTACCAAAATCAGCCCAATTTTAGGGCACTCTAAAAATCGACTGAGGGTTTTGGACATTAATTCAATTCAGTTCTTCTTCTCTCCTCGTTTATTAGGTGTTTCATTTTATGGGGATAAGCATGGTAGATCTGGCATTTTAAAAAGTTAGATTGAAAAAAAGGACATACACTTAGAGATCCCATTACACTGTGCTCTATACAGCACGCCGACAAGCACCACTTATTATTATTTACATAACGGCTTGTGTTAGAGCCTCAGAGGATTGAACTGATAATGGTAATCCCTGTTGTACGAGCCTGGTGTCCCTGGGAGGGCACAGGGAAAGACATCAGCATGCCTCAGTGGGCGCACCAGTGCCCGCGCTCTCTGAAATTGCCCTCAATTACAGCCGCCAGACTGAGGACCCTTGAAGACCATGCCTCAGCTGGTGGTCAGGTGGGCACAGCTGTAGAGAAGCCGATGAGTGGCGCAACGCACGGTACCACCTGCAAATCGTAGCGTAATTCGTCACACTTTTAGCAAAAATTGCAACCGGCAAGCTGCGCAAGAACAGGATTGTGAAGCTTTAGAAGCTGTCACAAGGTTTCGGTCTAAATGCATGGTTGTGGGTTATATGCTGGTAAATAAGCACCAGAGTGCTGCCAAAAATATATTCAGAAAATGGGAAGCGGCTGCTATATTTGCGCTTCAGCCAAAAGACGCCTGCCATACAAATGCAGAAGTGCATTGACAGGTCCTGCCTGTTCTGAAAGCACAAAGACAAACCAAGATGTTAAAAAAGAAAATCACTTCTGGCTTTGGGCGGCTGAGCAGAGATTTTCTAAAGGGAAAGATTTGTGAAAAAATGTCCACCCCTAGGTTTTCTTTATTGATTTATTGATTTTTAATGAGGCTGCCTTTCGATGTTCTATTAGCCAGTCTTTATTGCCCCACATTATCTCATGATTTCATTGCTGCTCTGTGATTTTATTTAGCTTCTCTAGTAATTTATTTCATCTATAAACTACCCTCAGCACTTACTACATTTGCCTAGCAACTCTCTCAATTTTAATACTATTAAATTAAATACGTCTAGTAAAACCAGGATACTCAAATGCTTTTTGTTCCTCTTTTGCTGCTGCAAATCCTTGATGGCTTGGAAGACTCAAGTCTTTATCATCTATCAGTGCAACTCAGCAGGGGTATTGCTTCTGTGAAGTACTGAAAAGCTGGTACAGATTACACCACCCGACTTTTGGCCTCTGCTCGGACCCAACTTTTCCATGTTTAGTAATAATTTTTGCATGGCAATGTGATGACTATTAACTAGCAGCTGAAAATAAGCACTGCAGAGCTAATGTTCTTGGCAAAGGCGTCACAAACTGAGGACCATGTAGAGTCAAGTACCTGCTGCTGTACTTTTTGTAAGATACTCCAGATCACTGTAGATCTGCAACCCAACACTTGCTAAATTGGTGCCACATTTGCAGCACCTGTATTTAGCTACATTTAGCTACGTAACTCCCCTGTTAACAGTCCTGTGAAGCCAAGGAGATGCATCATCTACTCACATGCTGTTGTCAAACGCTCATTCAATGCTGGGGCACTGGTATAGCTTTTTGTCTCTGCAGTAGAAATCGGCACGCCTGCTGAAAAACACACAAGCTTGTAAAAATTGCTGTAGGGGACCCTATCACTTGTTCTTCATTTTCCCCTCTTCTTTCCCTGTTTCCTGACTAAAGAGGTCAAAGAGTTGTAACCTACTACCTGAGATGCTGCTTCCCTCAGACAAGCACCACAAATTTCTGTGTCCAGTCTGTCACAAGCCAGAAACTCAAGAGGACTTTGGTGAGATGGATGAATAAACTTTGAGAAAACATATGGGGCATTTAAGCATGCATTTTTTGATTTCAGCTGAGTTTCGGCTGAAACTCAGTAGTTCCAAGTGCACTGGCTTTTTTTGACATGAAGCCAACAGATTGTGATGAACAAATGTACATAGATCAGAATTTAGACAGGGTTTCACCAGCTGCAATAAGACAAAACTGTTTTCCCAACTAGCAAAGAGAAGTTCTGAAGACATTAGTGTACAGGAGTCACACCTGCAATACCTGGTGCCAAGTACCAACTTATTTAATATTTTCTTTTAATCTTTTTTCGAAGTGCTAAGTATTCTAGAGCTGAACTAGCTGTTTATCTGATAAACACAGACAGATGGCAGTTAGCAAGTAGACATCTATTTTCCCAAGAGGACTATTTCACATTTACTAAAAAGAGTCCATCTTTCCTAGTGCCTGTCTCATTTTTGGAAAAGTACCATGAAGCCACCTGAACAAACCTGAGAAGGTGAAATGCAGCTGTAACTCAGCTCTCAAAGCCAGAGCACCTCTGGGCTCAGAGATGGAGCTATCGTGGAAGCAAAGCAAGGACCAGGCTGCAGTTTTAACAGCCTTGGTTTTGTCTCCCCTCCTCCTTCTCCTGTCTATATCTGTGCACTCTTCCCTCTTATCAGTTCCCAGCTGTGTCTTCGATTTTCTTTAAAAACTTGCAAAACAACAGGAACTGGATCAAACCCCTTTTTACAACAGCAGACTTGGACTTGGCATCCTGACTTGGCTGCAGCCCAAAGGGGCTGCTCAAGAAGCTGATGGTGACACCGGTATGGGAACAAGCAGTGAGACAGAGAGGAGACACACTAAGCCATGGTCAACACACCACAACTTCCACACATCAGGGGCATTGGTTAAAAGGCAGATGTTTCCTGGGCTATTTACAGAAGAGAAATGGCTCAGCTCCAGCTTACACTATGACTTAGACCTCGTACCTCCTCAACCAGTGAAGATGTATATAATACAGCGAGGAGAATCCTCTCTGTTCACATTGTGTATTTTGTAACCTATGTCGTGAAATTGTTTGTTGAGACAGGAGGGCTTTCAGTCCACTTGGACAACCACTTTCCTGCCCTGCTGTCAGCCAGGCTGGGCAAGTGCCTCTACTTTGGGGATGGGGAAAGCAGTGTGAGAAGCAGCAAACTTCAATTTCAGTGTCACTGCAATCTGTGTTCGTGCCCTGGCACATCTCAGTCTAGCCTCTTCGTGCCCCAGGGCTTTATATTAAGTGATTCAGTGCCCAAACAACACTCTGCTGAGTCAGGATGAAGCCTTGTGTTCAGTGTCTCCCTCCAGTATTGCCCCACACACTGCTCATCGCATTACTTGTGCATCTTCGGGTAAATACTGCTATAGCATTACTTTAATTTGTAAGTTACTTTAAGTGAAGACTGCAGGATTGAATTGCACAGCTTAAGGAGGATGTTCAATGTCCCACAGGCTTGTGAAAGTTAGTCTGTTGCAATTGATTTTTTTTTTTGTTTGGGAGAACAAGACTGCTGCAAATACCAAGGGCCAAATTCACTCTTGCTGGCTGCCACCTCAGGGGTGCATCGTTTCCGAGCCAAAGCTTTAGTGCTGTTATGGAGGGGAAGACGGTGTTTGACAGTGACTTGCCACATTGCCTCTTCCTCATGCTGCCTGTGCTGCCGTTTCACATGGGCTGTTTTGTCTCCAAAATAGGAGCGTGTGCCATGCCTGCATTTATTCAGGCTGCGCAGCAGCGAGTGCACACCTTGCCGTCAGTGAGGGCAGCCTTAACGCCCTTCTGACTGCTGCTTAAAACCTACCAGTCCTACAGGGATCAACAGCTGGGCTTCAAAATGAAAAGAGACTTTAAAGAAAAAAGCGTTGGCAGGCAGGTTGTGCACTCTGCTGGGACTGGCGGGCATCGGCCCTTTATTTTGCAGTCAGAAGGCAGGAGGTTCACAGCTTCATCTGCTCACAGTTCAGGCTGCTGCCGCGCTGTCGAGCGCGTGCCAGCTGCTGGTGCATGTACCTGTCCCTGGGGAAGCGAGGTTAAACCCTTCCAAGAGAGTCGCCCTGCCCTCCACTGTCGTCAGTGTCACCAGCCCGGAGAAGAAATCACTGAGTTGAGTCATCTGCTGTAAATGTTTTTTTTTTTTTTATCGGTGCTTTGTATTTGTAATCCTGTGCTCCAATGTTTGGGTTGCACTTCTAGCTCTAATATCATTCTATTCTTGTTTGATATTTAATTAAAGACATACGAGGAATAAAAGTATTGTAAAAATATATACTCAAGGTCTATTCAGTTGCTGAAAATAATGCATATAACCTGAACAGAGCATTAAAAAAGATGAAATCAAGACAGCATTTTCTCATATATTTATTTTTGAGCTGTGGACTTTCTAGTGTATAATGTACTAGGAGGAGGGCTTCAGTGGGCATTAAATTGTTTGCTACAAAAAATTCAAGAAGGTTATTGTATTTATGCATCTTTCTCCTATGTTCTTGAAGCAATAGAGAAAACATATTGGCTGAATTGATTACCTTGTGTCGTGGAAGCGGGAGCCAAGCTTGCTTGACTTGTGAAATCTAGAGAGGCCATAGATGTCGACTGCTGCTCTAAAGACAAACAGATTACACGGTATCACACTTAGTCGGTAGGGTCTTTTTAAAATAATATTAATAAATCATAAAACAACCTGGATCAAAGAGTTTGCAGTAGCTGTTGAGTTAACGCGGACTCTGCAGCAGAAATCCCACTGTCAGAGTTAAGGTTAAATGCTCAAAACGCATCCCACAAATTCAAGGGGCAGAGACGGTTGACTTTATTAATGCAGACCCTTTCACACAGGCTAGCTGCGTGAGTTATTTATTTACGTTTTTATACATAGGGTTCAATTTAACTGCTGTAGGGTGGATTATGCACTTGACGGTGGTGCTCCCCTGCCTAGCCAGAGCTTCACCAGAAATGGTTCTGACAATGCATGGCAGCTGTATAAGCCCAGGAGATTGCCTGCTGTTGTGGGTTTTCCTCTCAATTGGTGAAGATAGTTTAATATAGTTATACATATGCATGCTTTGGTAAAGCAGTGGTATTTATCTTATTAATGAATGGGAATGATGCACTACTACTGGGTCATGGAAAAGTGCTGGTTTTCACTTTTCTATCACATACACCTCAGAGTCATAATAGGACAAATTTATTCATAGTTGTATAGGGGTTTTTATTCCATTTTATAAAAAGGCATAAGAATAATATGTGATATTCAGCATGCCATTTTACATGCTGTCCTAACGTGACAGTTTTAGCAGGGTTTGTGTCAGATCTCTTCTTGGGTAACTTAATAGTTTGCAAATTCCTATCCAGCAGCACACAGGCACCATCGATACCAAAGCATGCTGACCTTTCCCTGGCATGCCTCTGGCTCTGTGTACATGACATTTAAGCACAGGTCAAGCAGAGATCATACATCTATTGACTGAGTAATAAAGAAGGCTTTTTTTTTCCCCCTTACCTGAAGTAGTCATGACAGCTGATGGAAGTGCTGAGTTTCCAAGGTCTATAACAAATCAAAGCAAACACTTTTACTCAGGGTGAGAAACATGTTTATTCTGCTTTAGAAAAGAGGGTCATTCAGGGTTCAAGAGTGAGAGAGGGTGCATCACACTTAATTTCCAAATAATCTTTCAATGCACAACCCAACCAAGTGGTCCAGTGAGAAACAAGAAGCACCAGAGGTAACTGTGTTGTGAAATCCCTAGGGAAACAAAGGCTTGGGGGAAACAGGTTTGGAGTCCCAGGCACCTCCAGTCTGCACCTCAACTCAAAAAGCAGAAGCGAGTTACATGGTTTTATCCCATACAAACAGAGGCACCTTATTACCATGCAGGTTGAAATAACATATATGACCTGGTGGTGGCACCTGCCCGGCTCCATCCATGAGGCATTTCAGAGACTGCAACCCTGGCACGAAATTTCAGGGACACTTTGCACTGAAAAGTGCTCCCCAAGTCCTCAAAGAAGGGGAGGGACACCATCCTGCCCAAGCAGTATTTACATCCTGAGTAAGAGTTGTCTCACTTTTTTTTTGCCCAGGAGGTGAAGCAAAATACCCCCTGACTAGGTTAGGAGAAAGGATTAGATCTCCCCAAAGGGCTCCATGGAGGTGAACCATGAAAACTTGCACACCCCATTAGAAAAAACGTATCTGGGAAAACAGCCCAAGTACCTCTGTGTGGTCAGGCAAGTTGGGAGAGCACTGGACAGGGAGTGACCCCCTGCAGACAGGATCTTAGCATAAATAGATAATTATCAGCTCTCCAGCTGCTTTCTTTTGCAAGCGTTTGTACCTCCTTTGACTGTTTTGAGTATTGCTCTTCCATTTGCACTTCACTTTAGCCTTGCCTGTACTAACAGGGATTTTGTAGTAGCTGGCTAACACAAGAGGATCCCTTACCAAAGATGCAGTGGGTCTAAAACCAGGGTAGTGGGGCATCTCGAGGTGTGCCCAGCTTTCAGTAAGTTACTGCAGAGCATGCAAGGCAAGGCAGGGTGGTGACCTGATGCAAGCTGCAGGGGCTGCTTTGAGAGATCACCTTGCAGAGGCCAGTGGAGGACAAAGTCTCTCTCTCTCTCTCAGGTACCCCCAGTACCTGGGATGGCTTTCTGATGTCCAATAGCATCCTGGCTGAACCCCCAGGATCTGCCACAACCTGCACTCACAAAAGCAAGCTTACACAGAAAACCACAACTACTTTCCATGCCGCCTGTCTACAGCATTTCTCTGACGCACTCACGAAACCCACCACTGAAATGCAGCTGCCTCCTGTGCGGATCAGAGCAAGCTGCCCCAGGAGACGTGTCTCCAAAGGACTTCAGCTGAGGTGTGGAGGGAACGATTTATCTGTCTGCAATAAGCTGATAATGAGACAAACTTGCAGGGGCAGAGCGCGGATTTACCAAATATACACAAATTAAGAAACATCCCATCAGTTCTTTAATTAGGCAAAAATGTTGAGGATCTTGGCTGTGTACTTAAGCAGAAGGTAGAACCATTAGTAGGGCTGTTATTTTTAATTATCAGTTCAGTGCTGAAAGAGCTATATTCAAATGCCAGCTGAAGCATCAGAAATAACACTAAATGCTCCCCAAACCTGGAGTTTAATTATGCTTGAGCTTAATTATGATAGATTACATCACCAAAATATCTGTTTATTGTATTTTCTCTGAAGTCATAGCTGCAGGAAGGGGTACGTTACAACCCATTCAGAAACAAGTTTGCAAAAACATTTCTCCAACATCTTTAGGAATTTATAGATGCACCTCTAACATAACCCAAGTTATTTTATTCTCTAATTTATGCTACCTTCTGAAGCCATGGTGGTAAAACCTTCGGATGAGGCTTCATTAGACTTATTGTCTGTGAAGAAAAAAAAAAAAAGAAAGATGAGAACAATTCTTAAAAGTAGTTAGGCTTTTATGTTAAAGGCTGAAAATTTAGTCTGGGGTTTGTGTTATACTGTGCATTAGTATGGCACCTTCACAGAACATAGCTGAGAATTAATTTAATCCTTTCCTTTCTGTCCCATCTAGATACATTAACATTTTTATACCGAGTGGATCTATCTTAGCATTAGTATACCCTGCAGGCAAGAATGTAGACTTCTTTAATTGATGGCTCTCCCATTTGAATACATTTCTACAAAACTGCAAATTGGGTGAAACGAGTAATTTTGGAGAAAAATGATCATTTATCTCCCTTCCCTCTGAAGCTATATTTCCAGGGGAGTAAGCTCTGGCTTTTGATGCAGTGTTTCTTTGTGGAAAAACATACCAACAAGCATATCCACAGCCACAAGTGAACACAGCTGAGCTGCAAGTAGTCACCACGGTACATGACTGTGCCCATGGAGATTGCTAAGGGGCAGCAGTTCAGCTGTACTGTCTGTGCAGTAAGGAGTAGGAAAAAAAGGTGTAACTGTGCATTTGCACCTGAAGATGAGGCATGCACAAGAGGGTGCTAAAGGAAATCAGTCTGCCCTTCTCACCAGCCACCCTGTATCTTCAGAAATGCCATAAACCTCTGGACCACCACATTTCCTGCTTTCGTCGACTACTTGAGATAGTATTTCCCCACACTTCCCTAATCATGTAGCTAATTCTTACAGTACAGGTTATAGGGGAGGTTCTCCATTGCCCAAAGCGATTCAACTGTTTTAGGGGCCTTTTGCAGGTTTCAGTGAAGATGTACAATGTATTCCTGACTCTGTGGGTTTGATTTTCCAGAGAGCTTCATTGCACACATGCAGACGTTCTGCTAGGAGTGCTCAGTGAGAAACACATGATTATAATAGCTCACTGGTGCCATGTGGCTAAGCTAGGGTATTTTTGGGTATGAGAATTGCAGCAAGATACTGCCTAAACAAACAGCAAGCCTCTTATGTTTGTGCAGGAGTTTCTTAGCTCATTTAGAGTCTTGAGCAAAGACTTGAGCTAAAAAACCTGCCAGAAAGTTCAAGCTGCGTGATGAACTTGTATAAAAAAACTTCCATACACTTGGCATTTCTTCACTATTTTAAATAACAGAGAATACATGTGTTCAATGTTCTTAACATTTTATGTTTCAGATGCACTCTATCTATGAAAAACCTACCGAGGGAAACAAATATTTCTTCTGATGAAATATGCCATGTTTTGTTCCCAAAAAAGGGAAACAGACATGCACAGGAGAATGTCTTATGTGTCTGGTGGGTCCCTTGCAACATCAGCGTTGATCTCAGCTGATAGAAACCTTCATTGTCTTGCGAGTCTTCTTGTTCAACAGAAATTTCTTGGGGAAAGAAAAAAAAAAAAGAAAAGCTGCAAGACCCTCTCGTTACACTCCAAACTATAAATCAGAGCTGTGCAAAATATCGGTACTGAAAAGCAAGCTCATATAGCTGCAGGTTTCTTTGCTGAGACACTACCAAAGAATTGGCAAGAACAGCGCGGTTATGCCAAGCCGTTGTTCCCATCATTGGCAATTGCAGGGGGCAATGGTCACAGCTGTCCACCAGCTGTTCCCTTTCAGGTGGTCTGATCCTCCCTTTCACCCCGACAGATACCTACAGGCTCCCCACAGTAGGAGACAATGAGCAACCATTGCTTTTCTTGGGAAGCACTCCTACAGCTGCGCCATTTTCCTATTGACAGGTTGCGTTACCTCCAGGCTGCTCCGTCAGTCTCGCTCTGTCCACGTACCACAGGAGGCTCGGTTTGGGAAATGCCTTCCTCACGACACAGCTCACGTTAGGCTATGGGGCAGTAAAAGCCAGTCGTTAGCCTCTGGCCGTTCTCACCTGGCTGCCAGCTTCCAAAATCCCTTACAGATAGGGCTTATTTACTCACCATCCCACTCAGGAAGGAAGCACTCACTTCCTCTTTACTACCTTTCTTTCCCCCCCCCATTTTTCTGGTTGGAGACGCTGTTGAATGAGAGCCCAGGCACACTCCCATTGCCCTGGCCCAGGTGTGGGGTGATGGGGCTCCAGTGCCTTCCAGTTGTGTGCCGTGTCCAGAGAGAGGTGAGGTGACCCCCCCCACATTCGCACCCCCAGCCCAGCGCCTTGGGAGCAAACACCCACATGGAGAAACACTGGCATCGGTAATGGGCAGGGTGTGTGCGGGAAGAATGAGATACCTCCTGAATGCCATGTAAATCCTTCCTTCCTTAGGCAGATAAGGAGGCAAATCCCATGAAAAAGACTGACTAGCACAATGATATGTTGAATATACAAAATTAGCTACCTTTGTAGAGGGTATGATATGTAAGAGGTTTCCAGAAGTCACAAGGAGTTGCATGCTTTAGATGCAGTAGTCCTGGCTGTATGCCAATTGCTCCAGAAGTCTGTGTTTGTGCCCAATTTAATTGCTCATCAAGCAATAGATAGGAAGGACTGGAGTGATCTCAAAATCAAGGCTGGATGAAGGGTTGGGCACTAGCAGGGTGGGAAATCTCATCCTCATGCTGCCTGGATGTTCCCAATTACATTCACTTAGCAGCTTATGGCATTAAGAGAAGTTGCCTTGTCCATTTAAAGAAAGGAAAAAAAAAAAAAAGAAAAAAGCACGTGCTACTCATGCAGCACAAAGCTCTCTTGCTCCCACTTTCGAAGAATGTGGTTCACACATTTACTTGAAAGCGAGCTTGATGCATTGCAGCAAGCAGAAGTCAATCATTCAGTATGAAGACAGAAACTACCCAGCTGAAACTCTTTCCTTGCCATGGTAAATAACCTCTGAACTTAGAGTGTAATTGTTTTCCCCTCTTTTCATTATTCCCTTATTTTTCAGCCACTTATAGTTCATAATATTTTTATAAATGCTACCTATGAAGAAATACAAATCTGACATCCAAAGTAGATTTAAGCCCTGCAAGAAAGGATGGAAAAGAGAAGGAAAGGAGTCAGTGGTTGTTTGAAGGTGAAGAACGGACAGAGGCTCTTGGAAGAATTTCTATTGCCCCATCCCATGACAGCAGCACCCCCTGCTCTGCGCAGAACAGTGCAGACAAAAGCCTGCCATGTCCAACACCGCACCTGGAAATAGGCCAACAGGGAAATTATACTGGTTTTGCAGAACCAACTGACTCATGGCTTGTCTGACAACAGGTGGATAAGGTTAATACAAGGTTCTGCCTGCCCACAAGCACTGTTTCCAAGGAAAACTTTCTTAATTTGGGATTCTCACAGATCAAAAGCTTCAACCTGGAGGGATGCAACAGGAAGCAAAGAGTCATAGCTAGTAGCCAGAGTGGCTTGCTAGTCAGACATATGGGCCACAAATATGTTTTATGCCAAGTATGGTCAGTGCAGTATAGCACTTTTCCCTTAGGTTTTGCCATTGCCAAGCAGGTGATAAAACAAAGGCCCCAAAACACGTGTAAGTGCTCAGCTCTAAACAGGGACCCTCAGACTTAGATCCACCCCATCCATCAGCATCTGGTTGCTCCAGCTGAGTTCTGCTTGGAGCATGTTGAACTGGATGATCTTAAAGGTCTTTTCCAACCTAAATGATTCTGATTCTATGATTCTAGGACACATTACGCCTGACAAGATCATCACCTTTCCATCGACACACTAGACCACGTCAGTGTCCCGAGCGCCGCTCCCACAGCACCCGCTCCTCCCTGTGCCCAGGGGGGGGGGGGGCTGCCACTGCCTACCCCCTCGGAGCAACATCCTGGGTAGCTGGTGGCCTTCTTCGGAGAGGGATTTTCTGCAGTGTGGAGAGGGCAGCTCAAGGCTGCTGGTTAGCCAGCAGATGGGGAAGGGAGCACTGCAGCCCCCTGCAACACCACCAACTCCTCACAGCCTCTCAACCCTGTCCCAGAGTCTTTCCTAGGGCTAACACAAAACAGGATTTTGCTCAAACCCCGGAGAAGCTCTTAGCTCGCTCCAGTTTGTGCTCACTGAAGTAGCTCCCTGCTGCAGGGATGGGAATCGCTCAGAAGAAAGGGTGTAAACAGCTGACATTAATTCATTGACTCGCTTGTTGCCCTGTGAGCTCAGTCACATCGGAGGTTCTGCCTACATCTGGTTCAGCTTAGCCTGCCTGGCCCTGCTAGGGTGGCACCGTGACGGTCACGGGCATTTCTCTTCGCTCCAAAATCGCTCACCTTCTGCGAGGGGCCAGCTGAGCCCTCCTGCAGGCTAACAGAGATCTCAGGGTAGGCTGGAAAGCAAACAGAAATGTATTAGTGAAATGGATACTGAAGGTCACAGCAACAGCTTCTAATGAGACTTAACAGCCTTGTTTCATAAAAAGAGTGAAAATTAAATCCTACATCCACCCACACACCTAGCAAGATAAAAGCTTGCACAGCTCCAATTTAAGGTCAAGGAAGTGGTTTACAAGCATATATCAGCAGCTACCACCACAAAATCTGTGATGTATTTCACTGCCTATCTAAACTACTCTTGGGTGGCTTTGCTGGAGACGCGAGCTCAAACCATCCTGCAGTCACGGCTCTGGCAGCAAAGCCACCCTTCCCAGGCCTGCAGAAATAAAACAGCCCCCAGTTGTTGGCTCCTCTGGGTGTCTGCCAATCAAAGTAATCTGCAAAGGCTTTAGCCAACATCAAAAATGTTGATTGATTTTGGGTATCAGCTATCCATATGCTGTCCCTTGGGCAGACATGTGACTGTCACACCACAGACGCCTTGTCGGAAAGCCCAGAACTCATCTTCACGTCAGAGCAGTGGATCTCTGATAACCACATCCACAAGAAACGGAAAACGTGTTTTCTTTTGGTTTTGCAGCATTTTGGTTCTAGGCCCATCTGACTCTGTAGATAAAAGCTGTCAGGAACCATAAGCCTCTCTAAGTTGGTATTTCTAAATTAGCCATTGGGATCAGTGGTTTGCAGTAATATTAACTGGCTTGTAAAGTAAGGACTGTTGAAACTGTGCTAATAGATAGCAAATCTCAAAAGCCTTGGATAAATTGTGCTTCTGGCCGTTTCTGAGCCTTAAAACTGGACTGGAAACAAGTGAAGCCCCTGGATTACTTAGGAGATCTGTAATTCTTTCTCTTTCCAACCTAAACCTCACTTTACTCTCTACCATTAAGATAATTTTATTCTCTATTTTTTCTTTTCTTTCCTAACCTTATTAATTGATATAGGGTCACCTCAGTTCATTACATTTCCCTCTGAGGTGAACAGCTCAAGTTTCCCTGTTGTTTTATACAGCAAATCCACCAAAGACTCTCCCGCCTTCTTTTTTTTTAATTTCCATTTTTCTGCCTAGTGTTACTGGTGGATTATGCCCACGAATGATCTATATTTAATTAGCATGGCCTTATGGTTTTCTGGACTTAGAGTACTTTTTGGGCAGAATTTCCTTTTTTTTTTTTCCTTATGGTGTGGGTTTTTTTTTTTTTGTGGATTCTTCCTATCAGAAAATGAATGTCTTAAAATTTCATCCTTGTTTCTGCCTTGCCAAAACTGTACAGATGATAGTGGGGCTGGCAGAAGACAAGCATACTTTTTCAGATGTAAGAAAAAGTCTGGTAAACTGGATCTTCTAATGGCAGCTAAAAGTTGGCTGGGAGACTAAATAACATCCAGTCTAGTGCCTGCTCTTTGTTTTGTTTTTTTGATGAGAATGTGTATACTTTTCCACATCTGTATTGGATGCTGTCCTCTGCTTTCTCAGAAGACATGTTTGCTAGGTAAGTATTCTGGCAGGCAGCTCTCAAGCACAGCTCTAAATGATCTAATAGATCTTTTCCGTTTAACATTTCAGCCCCTGTTAACAGTTTGACATTCATTTGTCTTGCTAGGATATTTACCAATGTTTTGGGTCTAGCAGGAATTCAATATTTAGTATAGTAGTTTCTGCTGCTGAGCTTTTACTCTTACAAAAAGGAGAAATCAATATTTGGCAAAGTTAGACATGAAAAGGCCATACATTTTCTCTGAAACTTGTATCTAAAAGAACTCTGTTCTAGAAAACAAATATTTTAAAGCATTTCAGTCCAAAAGTACCCTCTTAAAAAAGCGCTCTCGATTGAATGTCTGGTTTTACTCAACCTATCAAGACTCTCAACTTCATTGAGAGATGTGCTCATGCCTTCCCCATGCTCTCCTGCCCAGCTCTCCGTTATAGTCAGGCCACCTAAAGCATCTCTGGGGAAGTGCCATTGCTGTCCCTCAGACTTAGGCTGTCTCTGTTGTGTTTAGCCCTGAAGCATTTGTCAGAGGGATCCTGCACAATGGGCTTTCCCCAGGAGACAGTACCTTCCTCTCCTTCTCCTCCTCCTCTTCCCACTCATTACAGCACCGTGGTGCACTAGCTGCCTACCCTTCCTACCATTCCCTGGTCAGCTTTGGCACAAGGAACAAGAGAGGTGCTGTCATCTGAAGTGGGTGTTTGCCTGTCCCCAAATGTCAACTGGAGATTGCTGGATTATTCTGGCCACTGTCTCTGCCTGTCCTCTGCCAGCTCCTGCCCTGCCAGTGCATGGGCATGTGGGCTGGCACAGGAACATATCTGGACCGTCTGCTCTCTGGGTCTCCCCTCTTGCTGCACCACAAGAGAGGTAAATGGAGAAAAGCTGGTAGGATGCAATAGTAAGTAGTGTGACTTCAGTGAATGGTAACAAAGAAGAGTGAGACAGCATGCCAAATAGTTATTTTACCTGCAAAATATCAGACGTGAAAGGGCTAAGAGCACAAAAATGCATTTCCTCCAAGATCTGAATTCTATTTTTCTCTTGCGTCAGTGACCAACAGCCCCCAGACACAGGCTTTGCTTTCTTTTCTTTTTTTTCCCCTGCTCTTTCTTTGCATTCAGAGCATCCCTCTTGCATGGCCATGCTGTCCCTGAGCCGCAGGCTTCCTTGGGCAAGTAGCTACAGTCAAGGGACTGTTGACAGACCCACTGTTTAACACCCATTCATTTTAGGAGTGTTTTAAATATGTTTTCCAGATCCATTGCTCTCTAAGCAGAAAATACAGCCCTGTTTTCAGTGGGCAGCATTGTTCTGATTTGGTTGCACCTCAGCAATTGTAGAGTAGTTCCTAAGCCACTAGAAAGGGAACAGAGCAAGTAACTAAAGATGGGGAAGGCTTCCAGCATGAAATCCAAGCCCACATATTTGCGGCACACAGGCCCTGCCACTCCTGACCAGTTTGAGACCCCTAGGTAGGACCTCATTTTCAGAACCAGAACCTTTGGCAGTAGCTGAACGTCACATGCCTTTGAGGATGTGACTGCAACAACGATAGTTTCAAACTGCTTTAGCTACTTACTAAATTTTGGCCATGATTTCCTAACCACAGACAGCATGGTCATTTGGTAACTGGGGCACGGACATTTTGATGACCAAGGAGCTTGCCTGTGACCCACAAAGTGTCAACATAAGCTTACACATCGGGGTGAGATAGTGGCAATGTGCATGCCAGTGGTGTTGATGTGTGCACAATAGATCTACTATTTTTGATGCTAGAAATTGAAGGAATGGCCTCAAATTCTTCCTAAGAACTATGGGGCTATTTGCTAACATTTTAACTCATTGCAGCTGAAAAAAATACAATGTAAATATGTATATGTAAAAAAACCCAGTGTATTTCAAAAGCTATTTCCTTCAGAACCAGTCAGGAGTGTTACCTTTCCAAGTGCAAGTAAGCGGGCAGTTGGCATAAGCCCCTTACCAAATAATCTCACGGTGGTGCTGCTCTTCTGGACTCTCTCCGGGTGGTACACCACCTGGCAGGAAAACACCCTGCCATCATCTGTGATTTTGGTGGGGAAAATCTTCAGATCATTATTCAAACCCAGGCGGACTCTTTGCCTGTACAGCATGCTGCTGTTCCTGTACACTGCAGGACAAGAGGGTTCCTTGGTCACAAGTTCCTCTTCCCTGCCATTTTGCCCCTGTGAAAAGAGCAACCCACACAATGTGTGAAGACCAGACACCTCCCCCAAATATTTTTGTAGACCAGCTCTATTCCCACTGTGACAATCTTCCCCCGCACCCCTAACACTGCATAGTACTAAGTGAATATTTGCAACATCTATTTTTTTCCAAATACTTTCTCTCCCAGAACTTCAAAACCAATAGCGGTCATCGTCTTACCAATAAACTATGGAGTAAATAGCTTTGTCTTGTGAGTCCTGATCTCTGTAGCCTGTAGAGAGGACAACAGAACTGCTTTCTCACTGCAGCAATCTTTAAGTTATGCTGAACATCCCATACATACTAAATACAACTGAAATTCCAAGAAAAATCCTTGCTTGTTTAGATTTTAAATACAAGAGCCTTGTAGCAATAGCTAAGTCATTTCCTCTTAATGCCTGTGTGCCAGCCACCCTTAGATATAGGTGCAGCTGGCACATCCTGGACATCTGTGCCTCGGTACATATTTGCAAGCTATACTTGAAATGACGCATGGTGACCCACATATGTCACTGTGCTGACCTTTGGGGTTTTTTTTCCCCTTCCTCTGCTACTTTGTAGGATGAACTAGTGACACTAAAAAGTAGTAAGGACAAGGATGTTCCCTACAAAAATTTTAAGAATTTCAATATTAAGAATGCGCTGCAAAGGGGAGATCTAAATAGATAATGAGCTGGGATGAAAGACTAAAAAACCTAAAATATTTGAAAATCATCTTTAAGAAAGCCCTCAAGAGTTACAGCTCCTCAGTGACAACAGATACAAATTAACAGGCAAAGCTCAAGGACACTGCTGGCTGATACTTATTTCTACATACTGAGATTAATGCTAAAAGGTTATATTAAAACATGCCTACAAATATTTATCCAGAAAGTGAGATGCAGCACAATAATATAACAAGCTTTATATCTCACAGCAAATTGCTTAAAAACAGTTTTTATGTGGTTAGCTAGATAACTGGGTTTCAATGTCTTTGGCGTGCATCTGTGACACAGAGGTTACCAAAACCAAAAATATTACAGTCAGCCCCTTTTTTTTCTACTTCAAAGTGGCCTGATATCTCACTACCCTACACAGTAACCGTGTATTTTTCAGAGATACTAAATCTTCACTACAGCAAAAAAGCCTGAGAAATCCAACGCAAGGAATATTTCTGTTCTGCTACATTTGCTAAGTTCTTTGCCACTTTCCACGGACCTGCCCTACAGGTAGTCTTGCAAAATTAAAAGCAATTAAGATGGAATTTTCCCTCTTTGTTTCTTTAACAGTTATTGTCTGTGGTGTCTATGTTGTAAAACTGTGTTTGAACTTTTTCCCTTTATTATCACAGTCCAACACGACCGATACTTTTTGTTTAACAGATTCTGCAGGACACAGTAAAGTCTAACATTTCTATTTCAATCTTCAAAAATACCCTGTAGTTCCTTGTGAAATTTATACCTGAGATGAAAAATACTTACCACTAGCCATTTCAAAGGATAATTGGACAAATCTTCTGAGGTCGTGTCCTCAAGGCATGGTATTTCTAAAGTCTGGTTTAACCACAATTCCTTCATGTAGTGCTGCTCCTCTTTTGTCATTGCAACAACAACAACAACAACAAGCCCAAGAAGGAAAATCAGAAACATGGTGTTCATTGTACTTTAAAAACCAATGCTGACTAGTCTTCTGTTCAAGGAACAGGCACTTTTTTTATTAGAAGGGAACTGTAATTTTCAACCATTACCCATAGACACATTTGTAAGTGAAAGCCCTACATCTGATTCTAGATGCAGTTTCATGACTCTAATTCAAGGCTTTACCTGAGTTTTTGGGCAATTCATGTAAACCTTTGCTCAAGTGCACGATCAAGATGTCTTCTTTTGGAGCTGAGAATAATTTGTAGATTCAATTTTTCTCTTACTATTTTTTTCTGTGGCAAGAAACCTTCGCATCAATTTTGTGCACCTGTATTTCCTTTTCTCTGAAGAAATCTGCAGACCTTCTTTTCACTAAGCAAGGTGTTCAGCATGTGAGGCAGGTTAAGATTAACCCCATTTTTCAGCGTAAGTGCTCCTTTTTGTTATTCTCCAACCTGCCCGCTACCAGAAGCGGAGAACTTGTCACTCTTCCCTTTGTCACCTATTTAAAAAAGCATTTCAGCATCTCCTACCCTACACATTCCCAGTCCAGTGCTCCAGTCTATGCATGGAAGGGCAGAGCAGTGCACTGAACAGAGCACAGCTGTGGTCCAGACATCCGGTCCGCATGCATGTGTGCATCTAAACAGCAAGAGCAGCGGTGATGGCCAGGAGATGCTACGAATGCCTCGGTGAGCTCAGATCTCTCTGACCCTCAGCCCGGCAGCGGGCGGTAGCACTGTGCAGCCTGCCGTGCCAGCCAGCCTCCGTGCCGCAGCCTGCCTGCCGCTGCTGTACTGCACAGACCTGCCTTCCCTCTTCCCTGTAGGCAGGCTCAAGCCCACACCACGGGGAAACTCTTGAGCTTTGCTCCCCTGGTAGCTCTGGCTTGCGTGCTGACATAGAATAGATATGTATTTTATTTATTTTTTACCTTGAAAGGAGGGAGAATATCTAGCTGTCCCAGACTGTTAGGTTATTTGGCAGTGGGCACTTTCTGATGACTGACTTCCTTTATGTCTGACACCCAAGCACAGAGTGACAGTGCCAGCATGCAGCTTGTGCCACAGGGACGCGAAGAAAGGCAGCACCCAGAGTGGTGCCCAGGAGACTCAGCAGCAGAAGCAGCTCATCTCCACTCTCCACCAGAGCGAAGCAGCCGAGGAGTCAGCTGTCACAGTGGGACACGCAGTACACAGCCCCTGAAGGGGCTGGATAGCGCAGAAGGGGTAAAGACAGGGCAAAGGAAGCACATCTATAGCTTCCCCAGGAAGAAAAGTGCAGAGGAGACTTTGCTGGGACAAAATACCATGCAAAAGTGCTGTGCAGCTAACTAGAAGTACAAAGATGAGTAGTCGCCCCAGGAGCTCAGTCTGCAAACAGCCTCTGCCTGTTTTCACAGTCACGTGTGCCAGCTGCTTATTATTATCCCCCTCTCTTTGAGTCCCATCTCCATTAACAGATTGTTGGCTAAGGTCTTCCGTGTTTGTCAGTCCTATGTAGGCTTGCTGCTCTGCGGGCTTTTTGCGGCATCTACAAGTTGAATCCATCTGGATTCACTTCACTTTGATGTAGCTGGGAGCTGTACGTCATTAATGACTAGCACCCTTCTCCATCCCACTCGTAGGCTGGATAAGGTCTTTTGCCTTCTTTAGAGTGGGAGTGGTTCATTGCAAAGGATCTGGTTACCTTAAAATACAAATCTGCAAAAGGTATGTTGAAACCGAATTTTTTAGTTCTCTCTGGCAAGCAGTTATCAGGAGCACAGCTTGCTACATCGTGCAGTTGCTGAAAAAACCCACAATGATGCTGATAGGAACAAGACCTGCCCATGTTTAACATGTAGACAGCAATAACAGTGTTGAACATGCTAGTATCAACCAAGAGCACCAGCAAGAGAAAAGGAGCAATGCCTGATTAGCACTATTTCTATATTAAGGAAGAGACAGAGAAAAATCACATGAAGAACAGACACGTGGGAGGGTTTCATGCAGTTACCAGCACTGTTTGTACCTCACTGCTCTCCACTTGATCCAGGCCCTCTGCCCTGTGAAGTGCAGGAAAATTCCCAAAAGGGAGACTACTCAGCACATCCCTGTACAGCAGCTAAAGCAGCAGCTTCAACCTTGACACAATTATCCAGCATGTACTATTTAAACACCCCCATCCTCTATGGGACATGCAAAGATGCTGGCTCTAATTTTGCCTTTACAAGTTCATCAGGGCAGGAAGGTACCGCTGGGTCACCCCTGAGATGTGACTCTGGGATAACAGCATCAAAATGTTTGGAGCCACTACCATGCAGGGGCCAGCAGAGAGTGAGGCAGCAGCTTGGGTGAAACATCCTTGCATATGAGGCTTGCATAGGACCTGGAGTTTGTCCAGAGCTGCCAGTCTGCTTCAGAGGGAGGCCACTGCTGCTGCTGCTGCTGAGGAGCCGTGCCCTGTCCCTGACTCCATAGAGTCAAGGCTCCTTCTGCTGCAGGACCAATGTGATCCAGCATGAGGATCAATGTCCCTCCTGCCACTGATCTGGCCTCATGACACAGGCCAAAGAGGCGGTGGGAGTGCTGTGCCCATGGATGCTGCTGCCCCAGTGCTCTGCTGCCCTCTGCTACCCCTTTTGTCACCTGCACCCACCCTGCTTCTGACCCTTGAACATGTGCTGCATCTACAGCCCTAGGCGCAAGCAGGGTGAGCACGCTGGCCTTGCAGCTCTGAACTGAAACCATGCCAGGTTTGTTGCATTTACTTTAATCCTTCTTGGCTTGTTAACAGAAGCCTGGGTCAGGAAGAGGTTTTTTGGGTCATCAAATCCAGTCCCCCATGTGCACAACAAGAAGCTTGCTCAGCTTGCCCGGCATCCCCGCCCAGCTCCATCCTCATGGCATTTTGGACTTTTGCCCTCACTGCTGGCGTTGAACAGCTGTTCCCAAAGTTGCTGCGCTACTGGTTGCCAGCGTTGTTTAATTTGTAGTCAAATCTTTTCACATCCTATTTAATTCCATTCGTTCCTTTGCAGGGATAATTTAAATATCCTCCCTGGAGTTCACACTCTCCCCTGAGGCTTATTTACGAACAGCAGTCATGCTGATTTCCAGCTTCCTTTTGGCTGACAGAAGCAGCTGGGTCTCTGTTCCCGTGATCGGCCTAAGCGATCCCTGCTTTGCTCCAGCTTGTTTTTGACGGTGGGGACACACAGCCCTCCATTGAGCTAACACCCAGCACGCCCTGCAGATGCCAGCCCTCAGCCTTGACCAGACAAAGTTTTTTTCTCTTTCACGTGCTCAGTGCTGCACACCTATAGCAGCAGCACAGTGTGGTTTGGAGATCCAGCATCCTCGGCCCCACCATATCCTGAGCTGCTCGCCCAGTCTTCTCTGCATCACATTTCTCCAAAATGAAAATGTGGAAACTGCCCATCTCACCACCTTTTTTCCTTGCTATCTAACTCTCTATTCCTCCAAACAAATAAGGTTTCCTAATGAGGAGCTGGATAACAACAGCTAAGGAGTGCCTGGTAAATAGGAAACTGTGTAGACAGCAGCATTCAGTGACACCATTGCAAACCCCAAACAGATCACTGACCAAGAAATGGTCATCTATCCTGATATTCCACCCCACCTATCCCCTGTTATGAAAAAGCCACATCTCATCCATAATCACTTACCTTCTGCCTTGACAATAAGTCGAATTTTTGCAGCCTTTGTCCCATATGGATAAGTAGCAAATCTGCACTCATACTGCCCACTAAGGGAGACGGTAACGTTTTTCAGATGCAGAGCCCACTGATCACACTCAGATGTGATGTTTGGATGGGGGGAACAGAAAGCCTCTGTAGCATTCCAGTCGCAGCATTTTCTTGTGCTAAAGGACACCGAAAAGTTGTAAGGAGCCTCCGGAAACGTGAAGTAGTGGGTGCCATAAATGGGGTGATGAACAGCTATTTTGCTAAGCTGGGTGGCATCAGTCTTGGACCACTGTGTCTGTATTATGCGGGTAGTGTGTGGTTTTGGGAAGCTGCAAACCAGGGTCACGTCAGTACCTGGGAAAGCACGGACCACGTCTGTTTGTATAATGACGTCTTCAGTCTGGCCTTAAAAACAAACGGGACCATTTTTAGTGCAAGTAATGTTTAAACAAAGCTTTTTCCTAAGCCATCTTTGATATGCTTTGGTGCTTTAGCCACAGACAACCACGAAGACCCTACAACTGTGACAACAAGCTTTCCAGCAAGGAGCTTTACAGCAGATCGCCACCAGTACAAACTGCGAAGAGAGAACCAGGAGATCAAATGCACGCTTGTCTGGAAGAGGGTGGGGAGCTCCCATTGTGCTCACAAGAGACAAATGGGAATTCTGAGGGCCCCTGTAAAAATGGAAATCTTTCAAGTGATACAAATAAAGCAGAAGTTGGGCCCACTTATTCCCCAGCTCTTTTTGCAAGAACAAATAATTTATCCCTGCTGGCTAATTCTGCCCTGCACTGTTCCCCCTGCCCACTGCCATTGCCTTTGCTGCTTCAACAGAGAAAGCTGTTCTTTTACCTCCACATTATTAAACAGCTCCTGCATGGCCTAAACAAGTGTCTGTTTCAGTGTCAGAGCGAGCTGCCCCGGTAGCTATGGTTTCTTCCTCAATTAATTTCATAAAGCATGTTGGTAGTCCTTAGTGTGCCATATAAAGGAGTAATGTATCTGTGAAATAAAGAGGCTTTCAATGTGAGCCTGTACTACTTGGTTTTGCTGCTGCTGTAGTAAAATAGATTTCTCTCCCTTTCTCCCTCCTATGAACAAAAGGCTGGCAGTCCCCAAGCCCCTGTATGCAGGGCACTGACAAACTCAAAGAGATGAAGAATTTATGGATAGGGGAGTCGTAGTGAGACAAGCAATCAATCACACGCACAGAGCCATACACAAAAAGGCTCTTTTTCAAAAGAGTATGCGGGTCCCCAGAAAAAAAGAGTTTGTGCAGTTGTTCTTAGGTACGGACTTGTCACCTCCACCTCCATTGGCTTTTATCCTCCCTGTGTATCAAAATATCACTGCAAATTTGCTTTGGCAACTTGCCCCAGAGTCCCACCAGCCATACCGCTGACTCCCCACGGCAGCAAGTGCGCACTGCTCACCTTCCTTACTTGAAAAACTGGGTACCAATTTCTTTGCTTTGATGTCTGCTCCGCCGTGTGGTACAGGGGTCCAGGGCGCCTGAGCCAGGGGATGCCCTGCCAGGAGCCAGGCAGCCTCGACGGTGCCCGCAGGAGGGATGGCATGCCCCACGCTCTGCCAGCTCAGCTGGGAGCGAGACAGGGACCTGGTGCAACCCCAGCTCTGGTTTGACAGGGAAGAAGAAGAAGGGCAGAGTCCCACATCCCTGCAGAGCTGGTTGAGATTCAGTACTTAACCACTGAAGCGTGACATGAACACATAGAGACCAGGTGCATGGAGAACAAAGCTACTGAATGGCCATGGCCAACATTAATCTCTGGTTTTTTTATTGCTGTGCCTGCTCTGTTCATCTTTTAATTGACTTCCAAGAGACTGGATGACGTAAGAGGGTAAATAAAAATAAACCCAAGTGCCAAGTGCTGTGAGAAAAATTACTGAAAACTATTTTTGTCAGTCCAAGGAGCTTATTATAGCAAATGCTCACTGATTTCACTGCAAGTTTTGCATCAGTAAAACTTAAGTAAAAAGCGATTAGCAATCTTCTGATCAGACTAGCAGGCAAGGGACACCTAACAAGTTCTCTCTCATATTCATACTGATGCTTTATTAGGTCAAAGGACCATGTACAGAATGCCTACCAAGAATTACTTGAATATTTTATATTAAGATGAAAAAGTTGCATACGTAGAAACATTTTAATTTGTGTTGTTTATTAGTAGCCTAGCACTTTAGGTTATTTTAACTGAAACCCTTTCATGCAAAAGTGTTCTTAACTTTTCATTAACATCTCAATACAATTAGTTTCATTTTATGCCAATTTTATTTTTCCAAATCAAATGCTGTCCATTAGCACATACTTGTGGTCCATTTGAAATTTAATAGAGTAACTGCCAGACATTTAGCTGTCTGATCTCCACAAAGGGCATGGTGGCATCCACTTTCACCTTTGAGTGACTTCAGCGAGGATTTCATCCTCAGGGGAAAAAAACTCAACAGTCCTGTTTTTTCCCTAAATGGTATTGCTTTCCTGCATGTGCACGTCTTGATGTCTCTAGTTCTTTCTTTGCATTTGAGAACTTTTATTTGCTGTGAATACACATATGAAATATTTTCCTTTCTTTTAAAATCCAGTTTGCCTCAGTGGTGTAGAAAATATGAACAGCCTATGCCAGATTTTGAGATGCATCTTACCATACCAGTCAAATACATGACCTTTTTCCTTTCTTAACTGGAAAAAGGTGTATCCTACAAAATTCTTCTTCCTAGCTGGTAATAAATGACCTGCATCCAGCATGGTCAGCCTGTTGGGGGGTGGGTGGAGGGGGTGTGAGCATCAGACTTTTTCTTGGATTTCCTTAGATTGTTTTTGGTTTAAGCTCCCTCTGATGGGGATGCAGTTCTCCTCACTCAACTTTTCTGAAAGTTTTACTCGCAATGACAAACTTGTTTCCCAAGACTTTAATGCAGCACATAGGGCTGGGTGAGGAAGAGGAAGGGAAGAATCTACTTAAGGGGTTGCAGCTATACAATTTTTTCTTGCCTTTAAGTGTTTCAACTCTTCCTCTCTCTGTATACACAGGTGTGTGTGTGTGTGTGTGAGAGAGATAGAGATATTTTTTATTCGCTCTTTGAAAACAGTTTTCCTTTTTGCCCATTGGACACGAGCATATGTTGCCCTAAATACAAGTGAGCTCGTTTCAGTGATTATTCTGGTGAAAACGGGTGAAGCATTTTGAATAAACTAATCTGCTAGTCAGCACAAGCCATTTACTCCTTACTAGCTGCACATTATAACTAGAGCTATTAGAATGTTGTCAGGAAATAGAAAATCATTACCAGCAGCTACAGATTGCCCTAGTGAGACACGCCAACCTCGTCTGCACATGCCACCCTGCCCCTCGCCACCCTCCATCATAAGCTGCGTCAAGGCGTCCCACTGACACACTTACCTGCAATGCTGGGCACGAAGAGCAAACAAAAGAGGGAGAAAAGCCACCTTTTTTCCATCTTCACTTGATGAAGTTCTGATAAATAAGTAGCGCTCTTGGCCTGCTCCCGTCAGTGTCTCGGAAAAAAAAGTCGAAATCATCTGTCCTGTGCAGGCAGGCAGATGTACAACAGAGTCACGCTCATCATTTTAGCGTGACTTCAAAGCAATGCTTCATTAAATGCGAAAGCCTCAGTTTCCTGCCGGAGCGACAAAATTAGTACATGTTGTGAAACCTTTATGTTGAGAAGGCTACCTTACTGCACGCTGGTGTTCAAGACATCTTTTTTTTTTTTTTCCTTTGTCTTTTCAGATAAGCTCAGAGTAAAGTAATTTACTGGCTTAAGCTCTCTTGAAAACTTGTCAGGTGTCTAAAGTTGAATATCTGGTACATAGCGTACAAAAAAGCTGACTTTTTTTTTTCCTGCTTCATTTCCTTCTCATGTTATTCCAAAATATATTCCAAATATACTATTTCCAGACTCTCTGCACTCACTGTCTTTTAAGAAAACAGCAAGATAACAGAACCAATCCCCCTAAATCAGAGTGAACTGAGAGTTTTCCAGATTTACTTTTTACATTTTTTTTCTGAGAAGGAGACCATTAATTATTTTCTGTGCAATGAGGAATTACAGCATCACATGTGACAACATCACCTGTTGTGGTTAACCCCCGTACCTCACTCTGTTCAGCTGGCAGCTTTGGTGTTGGTGCATGGCTCCAGCCAGTCCTGCAACCTTTCTTTATTGCAGGTCACCTGTAAATCCTTCTGAATTGTCCTCAAAGCATACTGCCTTTCCATAAACTAGGCATACACCTGTCAGCAAAGCATCTCATCGCAGACAGGTCTTATGCAAATTGGACCTGCTGCTGGTAGTCTTTCAGAAAGACAACAGATCCAAGTTCTTGCTTATCACACTTCTTTCCCCAAAACTGAAATAGCAGGGCAAGACCTCTCACGTACACAACATGAGTGTACGCGTTCTGCTGGCTCTTCTCGAGATGGGGTGGGTGTTGGGAAGCGTAGCTGGGCAGGAGCCTGGTTGCCCCTGATGGGTCCCTGCCTGGGCACCTGAGGACAGCCCACCCTTTGACTCCGGGGAGAGCCGATTACAGCCCATCCATCAGAGCAGAGAAAGCGAGTGGCCTGGATGAGTCCCTTAAATGGACCCCTCTCTCCACCAGCAGTGGTTTTCCTTGGGTGGCTGGTCTATCTATGGGTGATCCAGGTGCTGATACTTCTCTCCTGAAAGCATTTCTAGGGGGCCCGGGTGCCTTTGTCGTCCCCCTTCTTTTATGGCACCCCTCTCTGCTGCTCAGGCAAGGCCTACGGAAACTGCCAGCAACCGCCTGCAATTTTCTTCTCAACTGTTTTCCATTTCCTCCCCAGCTGTCAATTTTTGCTGACCGTGGAGCTCCCCACAGCTCCAGCTAAGGCACAGAGTTCAAGGCAAAAAAGACAGACCTCACTGGTCATTTCCCTATTTTATGCACTACCAGATGCAAACAACTTCTATACCACTTCCCTAATTTGTGCACGTGAAATCTTTTGGTAACATGTTTAAGCAAGCTAATGTCTCCAGCTGGACAGCTGGAAGCGCTGGCCAGGCTACGTTCAGGCCTCCAGACACATCTTGGAGGATAAGTGCTGCTGCACACTTCCTTTTTTGTTTGCCTTGCTCCCCTACCTGAGGAAACAGACTAAAAGCAGTCGTGGTAAATGCACTGGATGCCCAGATTACTGCTAAGGGAATACTCCCTGGGGATTAAATATCTGCTTGCCACTCAGAAGCCTGACAGAGAAATACCTGTCTCAGAGGATCAAGAAGTCCTGAAGTTGAGGATTAACAGAATGTTTAAGCCATTGTAATTGACAGCCACAGAAGGGAGTAAAAGTATTAAAGGTATATGTTCTGGTTTCCAGTTCAAAGCAGAGACCACA